TCCTGTTCTCAGAATGTCGGATGCCTTTTATCCACGAAAACTTTTGAAGTCGCTATGTATGGTTTTGCTTAGCAGGACTGAGCCATTTTGACAGGGTGCCTCGTTGCTGGGGCAACATCCCAGAAACTTTCACCTTTATTATTCTACTGGGTTGAATTATGTCCAGAGCAAACAGTTTGAATTGTCATTGAATTGCTAACTTTGATGCCTGCTAAAGTATGATTTTGTTTTTCAATTCCAACGTTACAATGAAACAGATTGCCTATGCCTAATGCGGTAGCATATTCGCTGTGTTCCACGATGAGTTGTCGTGTATATGCACTGGACCAAACGCGTGGTTCATACTGACTTATTAGGTGTGTCTATCGGACCGCACTGAGCTCGCGCGAGCACATATTAGTGCTGTAAATGTGTAATGACACGTCTGAGATATAGTCCAACATCCAAATGCAGCCATCACGGCCAATCCCATCGCTCCTGAGTTGACACCCCCGCAAAGAAGAAGAATATAATGATGAGAGCACTGGAACACTAAGTCTATTGGCCTGACGTTTTGGATTCTCGCTTGAACCCATCGTTAGAGTCGTTCGCAGGTAGGGGTGATGGAGGAGCAAAATGTACGGTATTTATAGGACGCATGTCCACTCGCGTTTATTACTAGGGGTTGTGCCCGATGCAACGTTTACTCCTTAGTCCGCATTCAAATAGTTAATTGTCAAAAGGTCTTCACCCTGGTCGGTTCTTGTCGTAATACTTATTCGGCAATTCGTTCCGCTGTCGCTGGAACTATTGATTGCTTGGGTCCGCCCAGTCTAGGCAACATCCCTGAATAGACAACGAAACCACAGGTCATTGCGATTTTAAATCGACTATTGGACGGAAAACGAAGCCTCAGGCAGCTCACGGCTCGCGTGGTGGTCAGCCCTAACGAGAGTTTTGGCCTCGTTTAACTTAACGGTGGGACCGAGTTCCGTCGAATAAGTCACGACCTCACAGTTAACGTCTCTTTTCCACACTGCCGCCGCAGGTTCGAACAGCCGCGTGAGGAATATTCTCACAGCTTCTCCAATGTAGTTGCTTTTTCCAAAACTGTGTTAGGTCCGTTAAACGATTCCAAGTGTTTCCTGCTGTCAGTGGGTATTTTGACCTCAATGGTTGTGGCCTGATGGTTTCTTCCGGCCAGTGTGCAACTCAAATTTCAAGTGGCGTTAACTGGTACATAGGGAAGGAAGAGGCAATTGAAGTCAACACTCGGGAATCCATCCCCACGTCAAATAAACGCATTAATCACCATAATTAACCTGGTGCGCTTGACTCTGTGACAATGCGCTAACCACCGTGGCCTGAAAGATTGCCAGCTGATGGGAATAACTTGGTTCTTTTCAGAATTGATAAGCAGGCTGCAGTGGTTCCTTCTCCGTTTGACGTTTATGGCATAACTAATCACGTGAGTGCGCAGCTGCTCTGGTATATATCAGACCTACATTCTACGAGTACCGTTTCTGCTATTGCATTCTGCTTATGTGTCTGATGATGAATCCGCGACGGATATCAAAATGTCAGACGGATAAAAGAGTTGTCCCAGCAGTCGAATAGTCTTCTTCTCAGTATAATATCTGTTAATCATTGTCAGCTACTACTTCCGAGCATACTTTTGACCATTTTAGCATCGCCTAGCAGGTGGAAAAGGGTTAATGAGGAAGGGGAGGGTGAGCTAGCTGCAGTGAAAGTCTGTCCCATTATAGACTAATTGATATGCAAAGTACCGGTTCCATGTCTCCTCCGTTGGGGATACGGTAGACGCCGTCACCCACGACCTTGGCTCTTAACATAATCGTGATTCCAACCCCAGCCATAAACCTAAGACTCATCTTAATCCTAAACCTAACCTTCCGGAGATTTTATGCAAAGCCACACGTAGTATGGACGGCTCCTGTCCCCGTGTCCTGTTAAGGCGGCCATTGCAGCCATCCTTACTCGTCGAATGCTAACAAAACCGCCAGTGCCTAGATGTTTTAATCATTGCAGTAGGGCTATATCTATGACCAGTACTTTCTCGTATCTTAATGATGAAAGACAGTGCGCATTCTAGGCGGCAATTTCAATTCACCTTGCCAATAAAATAATACTGCCAGCGGCCAACCAGTGAGTACTGTCTATGTCCTTCTCGAACATTTTTGCCGTGTCGTAGTTCCTATATGCATCATTTACTGGCTTTCCTTACGTAAGAGGGAATTTTCTTGCTGCAAAGTATCCGGGTACCAAAAATGCAGCTCGTTTAAGGTAACAACTTGCTAACAAATATGATCAGCCGAGAAAGCCGAATAACCGTTTGCAGTTCTATCGCGAAATTTGGCATCGCGTTTGAGTTTATCCAATGCGGCGAAGTACTTCTTGTAGGGTTCCATATTCTCCACACGGACGAGTTCAAGACGCTCACGGGGTTTCCTAGGAAGAGGGTTTATCACCGCGCCGGGGACAGGGCCGCCAGGTTGAGATGGTGAGGCTACGCCTACACCCTTCTTGTCTTCCCAGGCTTGAACCGGCTGAAAATGTAAGTGTACACAGTGGGATAAGTGTTTGGTGGCCACGACATCACATAAACCGCGCCACGTAGGGTTTATGGTTTTTTTGGAGGCAGTAGCAGGTGGTGTACACTTAGGGAAAACGGTACGCCTGTGAGGTAAATTGATGCATCAGCACGGAAGACAGGTGTCGCCTACATCGAGAATGGTGAAAAAACTAAAAAGATAACATTTGGTTGAGTCTCCCTTCAATTCCCTGGACAAATTGCCCTCGGAAAGGTTAAATTTAATAAGTTGTATATATTTGTGTCCTTTATTTTTACTGTAATATACGGGATGTGGGTCTAAGTGGTTTGAGATGCTTTCAAGTGGAAAACCTTATCTGCATGGGGTCTCAAAATCACTAATTAGTTAACAAGATCTGAGGTCAATCGTTGCATAGTATTCTGCTGACTGTGCCGACAGTATGGCGAACCGCGCACTATTTGTATGCCACTGACTACCTGCTAGCATTTTATGAATATTGCTCGCTTATCCCAATAAGGTTGTTGGATTTCGACTCATATATACATATCACTCCTCGGATCTTGCTTAAAAGTGTCCGAACCGCATACGGACTAATTTTTGAGGAAATAAAAAGCTAGAAAGTATGCTGACCTCTGACCGAATCGTCATTCAGTCATCTCCACAAATGGCCTATATGAAACTGGACTCACTCAAGTAGTATGCATTAAATCCATTTAATTATGAGGTCCATACAAATTTACAATATTTCTTCGCGCGCTCGTTAAGGGACTTGCGTCTTCTTGTACTCGTCGATCTTTTGAAGTTTCTGATTATGATAATTTAGCAGACGTTCACATAATAATCCTTGCAGTTCAGCACATTCAAAATGATTAATTCTGTCAAGAAAATATTCAACGTGATCCTTGTCTGCTGCAATATAATTTGACTGTCCGGCTGTAACTTTACACATACCCATCGAATTATTTATTAAGGAGAGTCGTGTTGGCGGTTCTATTTCAGCTTCTTAATTTCATTAGAAGTTAATTTTTTAACCTAGTGCAGATTAGTATATTCAACGTCTATGGGTAGCAACCAAGATTTGTGCAAATATTTGGCCGAAGTCCATTGGTCACTGCGGGATAACTGCGTAATATACATAAGTTGTCAACCGTCAGGCGGTAGTATAGCGTATTTACAGGACAGTTACTAGCTACTATCTGTGCTGTCAATATTTTAAATACTTTCATAGGTTTTACTATAAAATATACTACTTTTAAGCAACTGCTTCACGTGGAAATGCTCTTTTCAATCGGCAGTTTGACTCAGAAGAAGAACATAGGAAATTAATTTACCACACTCGTCCACTAAATACCGACAATCATAGAAAGAATATCTGCCACCGGAGCGGTGCATAAGCTACGTAGGTTTCTAGTGAAACATCCAGTCAAAACTCAAAATACCATATTGTCGAAATTGTATTGGCCTTTTGTTTACTGTCAAGTGATTTCACAGTTTCCACATGTACACTTTTGCTTCCGAAATAGTACTCATTCGGGGAAGGGTGTTTACCGATCGGGTTATGAGACATGCTCGTCCCTTTGAGTCCTGGTACTCGATCAAGAGCCCTCGCATGCGGTTACATAGCGATGAGTAATACGCGCAAGAAGGAGTATTTAACATGGTAAGGAACCCTGGAATGGCTATTTCTGAGTCAGTGTTCGTCGTTAGCCAGCCATACTTAACTCCAGCCTTGATAGGATGGGCTTCGCCCTTGACGAAATGGCTAATAGTTCCTTTCAAAATCGACACTACAACAAA